CCCCATTCTGTTGTTTTCCTCTATTTCTTTGCATTGATCACTTAAGAAGGCCTTCTTATGTCTCCTTGCTATTCTCTGGAACTCTGCATTCAGTTGAGTACATCTTTCCCTTTCTCCCTTACTTTTTGCTTCCCTTCTTTCCTCAGCTGTTTGTAAAGTTTCCTCAAACAACCACTTTGCCTTCCTGCATTTCTTTTTCTTTGAGATGGTTTTTTCACTGTCTCCTGTACAGTGTCACGAACCTCTGTCCATAGTTCTTCAAGCACTCTGTCTACCAGATCTAATCCTTTGAATCTATTCCTTACCTTCATGGTATAATCATAAGGGATTTGACTTAGGACATACCTGAATGGCCTAGTGGTTTCCCCTGCTTTGTTCAACTTAAGCCTGAATTTTTCAATAAGGAGCTGATGATCTGAACCAGAGTCAGCTCCTAGTCTTGTTTTTGCTGATTATATAGAGTTTTTCCATCTTCAGCTGCAAAGAATATAATCAGTATGATTTTGGTAGTGAACATCTGGTGATGTCCACGTATAGAGTCTTCTCTTGTGTTGTTGGAAGAGTGTTTGCTATGACCAGTGTGTTCTCTTGGCAGAACTTGTTAGCATTTGCCCCACTTCATTCTGTACTCCAAGGCCAAACTTGCCTGTTACTCCAGGTATCTCTTGACTTCCTACTTTTGCATTCCTGTCCCCTTTGATGAAAACGACATCTTTTGTTGGTTTTAATTCCAGAAGGTCTTTTAGGCCTTCACAGAACCCTTCAACTTCAGCTTCTTCGGCATTTGTGGTTGAGGTATAGACTTGGATTTCTGTGATATTGAATGGTTTGCCTTGGAAATGAACAGAGATCATTCTGTCATTTTTGAGGTTGCACCTGAGCATTGCATTTTGAACTCTTGTTAACTATTACGGCTATTCCGTTTCTTCTAAGGGATTCTTGCCCATAGTAGTAGATATAATGGTCATCTGAGTTAAATTCACCAATTTTAGTCCATTTTAGTTCACTGATTCCTAAAATGTTGATGTTCACTCTTGCCATCTCTTGTTTGACCACTTCCAATTTACCTTGATTCATGAACCTAACATTCCAGGTTCCTATGTAATATTGTTCTTTATAGCATCAGACTTTACTCACCACCAGACTTTACTTTCATCACCACTTTACTTTCACTACATCCACAGCTGAGAGTCATTTATGCTTTAGCCCAGCCACTTCATTTTTTTCTGGAGCTATTAGTAATTGCCCTCCTTTCTTCCACAGTAGCACATTGGCACCTTCCAACCGGGGGCTCATCTTCTGGTGTCATATCTTTTTGCCTTTTCATACTATTGATATTCATGTGGTTCTCACAGCAGGAATATTGGAGTAGTTTACTGTTCCCCCCTCCAGTGGACCATGTTTTGTCAGAACTTTACATTGTGACCCATCCATCTTGGGTGGCCTGCATGGCATGGCTCATAGCTTCATTGAGTTATGCAAGCCCCTTCTCCATGACAAGACTGTGATTTTCTTAGACTTTCCCCTTCTAAAATAGCACTAAAAAATAGTGGGAAAGGGAATCTTTAATCACAAGAAAACCTGATAGCAATAAAACCTACTTTTTCCCCTTAGAACTTTTCATTCAAAATATTTGAAGGAAATTTCTCCTCTGATTTTTAACCTTCCACTCCCAATTGTTCCTTTACTTGTTGTCAAGAAGTGCTTCATACAGGAGAAACAGATTTGTTCTAATACAATAATTTATTTGGTCTAATAAATTAATTCTTACATCCTATTTCAAGTATCTTTAAGTAAAAATACTTGGACACCTATGGGTGGGTTCTGAGAGTCTGCAGTTCCCCTAAAAGTGTATGCAAAATTATGTGTGTCATGTATAGTGTTCATTTTCCTGGGGGGAAAGTTCTCAAAGTCCATGATTGCGAAAATAAGAACCACTAATTTATTAAAACCACCTGAAATTGCATTATAGTGACAGTGTCTATTACTTCTGGAGACTTTCTTCTCTCTCTACTTGTCTCACCTACCAACTCCTCTTTCAGTACCTTAAGCAATTCTTTTTAGGATCTAAGCTTGAGAGAGTGTGTGTGATGGGAGAGAAGGCAGAGTATTGAACCTGTAGACTGAGCTTTAAGGTAAAATTTGTTGAAATGAAAACTGCAGATTAAACAGCAACAATAGAACACTACAGGTCCAGTTCTAGTGAGTGAGAGAGGATAGGGAGAATATAAATCAATTTTGGTATAATTACATATTCATTCCAGGACATCTGCTAGTATTTCTTCATAGACTGGCTTAAATTACCTCTATTCTAATGATAAGAACATGAGAGGAAGTATGCAAATATTTTGTTTGAGAACAGGGATTTGCAATAGGCTAATTCTTTTATATGCAGAATTATAACTGATCTTGGCTGCCAAAAAAGAAGTCAACTTCAGCCATTTAAATTTCAAAATACATTTCTTAAATTTTAAAAGCAAGTTAATAAGTTCATAAAGATTAGGAGTAGTTTCTTATTTTTATAGCCTGTAATTAAAGCCAAAAACTGCAATTTAGAGAAAGCTCACTGATTGGCAACAATGACTGATATCCTATTAGCTGTTGTTGATTGGCAAATTGAATTATTTAAATTCAGGTTAATGAACTGCACTTCCTGTTTCTCTAATTTTTCTCATTTTTTTCAATATATATTCTTTCATTGAAGGCTATTTCAGTACCATTTTGGAATGGAGTAGGTTATAGACAAACGGACATAACTAAATTGCATTGAAATAGATTATTTATTGGTCTTTATATTTTAATGAAATTGAGATTTTTTTTTTCTCCCCACCATTTGTGTTTGAACCTTACAGACTAGGCATATGTCAGCTTAGACTGCTGTACCAAATTACTGTAGCCTGGGTGTCTTAAGCAGCAAACATTTGTTTCTCACAGTTGCGGAAGCTGGCAGTTCCAAGATCGGGCTGCTGGCAGGCTCCGTCCTTGGTGAGGGACCTCTTCCTGGCTTGTAGACGGCCATGTTCTCATTATGCCTTAATGTGGCAGAGAGCAGAAAGAGAAGCCCGCATTCTGTGTCTCTTCTTAGAAGGGCACTAATCTCCTGAGGTCTGTCTCCTCCTGACCTGATTACCTCCCAAAGGCCACATATGCAGAGGCCATCACTTTAGGGATTGGGGTTTTCAGCACATGAATTTTGAAGACACAAACACATAGTCCATGACAGTACACATTCCTTTTAAAATCCTGAAACAAATATTTAAATAAAATGAAGATACTAATACATAAATCATATGAGTTTTATCTTTCCCGAACACTGAGCTATGAATTAAAACAGAATTTAATTCAGTTGTACCATTTTGGCATCATATGAAATCATTGATTGCAAACCAGCTGTATGTGTGCTTTAAAAATATGCTAATTCTAAGTAACATGAGCCCCATAAATACATGGTGTGGGGAAAACTGAAGGCCCAAATAGTGGCTGTAAATATTTTCAGTCTTCCAAGATGGTTCATATAAATGCAGCACTACCCAAAGACTGTCTAATGAGGTTCTGTTCAATCTGCAAAGGATGATAAAGCTTTGCTGAATGGTTTTGTCCCAGATGTACTGTGAATAAGATGCCTGGTAACAACAGATCAAAGCCCCCTAGAGGCACTATGTGCATTCATTACGAGCTACTCAAATGTGACAGTACCCAAGTCACCAATAAAATAGCAGTTATTTTATGAAAATTATGGGGGCGACGGTGAGGTTCTCTCAAGTATGCCAGCAAAATGCAATTAAACAGATTATACTGCTAAAAACAGTCTGCTTTGGGCTGCTTTGGCATAATATTAATATATTGGTTTAACTTGTGCGCACACAGCCAGATGTTTAAAGGGGCAGAAATGTCCAACCTAGTTTCCCAGTCCGAATGTTGGAGACTGGGTTGCAGAAATCCTCAAAGGCAAGGCCTCTGTCTTAGGTGAGGCTGGGAGAATCGCGGGGTGCGGGGTGGGGGAGGGCTAGGTTATGCTCCTAAGGGTCATGGGTCCCTGTCAGTGTCTGCAGGGTCTCAGAGATCTGAGCTCAGTGGCTGTCTGTATCATTTTCCCTCCTTACCCTCTAGCACAAATGATTAATTTAATTAAACAAGAGAGAGATCCAGATTTTATATATCTTCTTCAACTGCTTAAAATGAAAGAACAGAAAAATGGCCTTTATCCTCATAAAAAGCATGGCTTTACAGTTCCTTAAATTTTCAGACTCTCCTCCCAAATTCAGCTTTAAAAAAACAAAACAAAACAAAACTTTTTGTATATAGCTGTTTAGCTCTGGAAAGAGTTGAAGACACAGCTGTTGAACTGAGAATTCTTAATCATTTAGCTTTTAAAGCAATATTATCAATGACCCTTTTTAAAAACCAATATGTCTGTGAATCCTTCTAAGATACTGTAAGTGATGAAGACCCACCTGGGTTCAGGACTGCCTGCATGTAACCTGTCATTCTCATTTCTCTGGCCTTGTTTCAGTTAACCGTGTACTTATTCATTTTAGTTGGCGATGTCACTCTTATGTCTGAACTTGACTTCCCGTGAGAGCGCACTCTGTGCTGTTTACCTAACTGAGAGGAAGTGTATGTGCTGAATTCCTTTTTTATATCGCTACTATTGTCTGGTTGTGGCTCATATGTTCAGATCTATCTAATAACTATGTTTTATTAAATAGACATACTTTTACCAATGCAGACGTCTTAAAATCTGTTTCACTCAGTAACCAAGCCTGAATTTATGGTGTTTACAGTTAAATTAAACCTGGTAGCCCCAACACTTGTCAAGATGAGAAAAGTAATTGTTTCATGACTATTTTTCTCTTAGAGAGATTATCCTGAGTAGGAGTTTTCATCTTTTACATTTTAAAAATGTTAATAGAAGATAAATGGAAAAATCTAAAAACTAAACTTGAAATGATATTTTAATGACTTTGTTTTTATAATTATATATTATGCTTTATTTGCAGGACCGTGTAAATGCCTTAGAAACGGTAAGTTGGGTCATTTTCTTTCTCCTTCTATCAGAATTACTGCTGGGTACTGTTGTGGATTTCAGAGCATTCCCCAAAGGAAGCAGTTCCAGAAAGCATTTCTAAAACTTCATCTAAGATTCAAAGGGAACAATAAGCTAAACTATACCTAAAAGGTATGTAGATACAGACTTTTAAAATGAAAATAGCATTAAGAAAAAAAAATGTGTCTAAGTGGTCACTGTTGTCTCAAGACAAATGGTGCCAATATATACTAATTTATGGAAAACACAATTAGGTTAAATGTAATTATGTTTATTTGTTTATATTTTTCCCAATCACTAAAAGGTCTAGTTGATAAGATACTGAAATTAGGATGCCATTTTATCCTTTGAACTTTTGCAGTGTAGACAATCAATATTTTTTTCCATATTCAAATAATGATAAAAGCTACTTAGACTTTTTTTTTTTTTGAATAATCTTACTTGCAGGAATCTGGTGTTAGGAAATCATTGTTTCAAGGGCACATATGTAGAGGTTATATGCTTGCAACATTTATTGGAAAATGATTTACATATTTTTAAAAAGAAAAAAAGAGGAGAAAACTTATTGTTTATCAATAAAGTAATGGTTAGATAAAGTGTGAAATTCTGCCCAAAATGACACTATGATTATGGAAAAGGCGTATTATATAATGTTAAATGGAAACAAATTTAAGATATAAAATGACATATATACTTTAATGATAACATATGATGTCTGAAAAAAGAACAGAAGCAAGCAAATCTCATAATAGTGACTTGTTGGAGAAGAATTGGGGCTGTGATATCACTCGATTCTGCAATTTTTTAAAAAAAAACATGGTTTTATAAGTAAACATTTGCATGATAAAGCCACACGAATTGAAAGAATTGTAGAGTAAATTATGATACCATCTACAATGAAATATTGTTCAGCAATAAAGTGTCATATGTTCAAAAATAAATATATACAGAGGGAGATATTTAAAGCTATATAGAGAATATGATGTAAATACTTGGAAATGTATATTTTGTGTTAAAAACTTTGAAAACACACAAAATACTGAATGACTTGGAACTAGTCATTTTTTTAATGTTTTTCATGAGAAGGCAAACCATAAGCTTTTAAACAATAAGGTTAATAAAAAATAAAATATTTAATTTGTATGAGGAAAGGAAAGATGCTAATAGAGCACATTTTAGTCCTATGTAAGCAAGTGATTTTGACAGACAGCATCTAGACCCTAGTGAGTAAATAATCTATTCCTTACTTTTACCTGGGCCACTTGGAATGTACACTTGATTTTTTCAGTTTTAGTATGATGACACTGTAAGTGAATAAAATGTCTAGTGTTCCTCTACATATATTTTACTTACCCTTAGAAAGTGTCTTGCCAATAGGATTTGGCTTATAAATTAAATTCTCTTTATAAAAGTATGAACAAAAGCAGAAAGTTTGAGGACCTGGGCGTAGCATACAAAAATGCCACTTACATATTTAGTAAACCACTTATTTCTTGATACCTTTATCTGTAAAAATGAATATAATTAAACTTGTTTTATCAGATTGTTGGGAGAATTAAGAGAAAAATATATGTGAAAATATTTAGGACCAAACAAATGTTAGGTTATCATTATATGATAGCTTTTTATTTCTTTTTGAATCATTTTAATTATACCAATATGTCGACATACAACATAAAGCCTGTAAAATTTGTTAGTATTTTAGTATTTGTTGGTCTTTTTTATTTCCATAATCTCTTTACTAACAGAGTACTATGATATAAAATCTCTAATGCTTTATTCTAAGGGTTCCTCCAGGAATAAAGGTAAGAATAAAAAGTCATCATGAGAAAAATAAAACTGGTTAAATGAACTAGGTTTTTTTTTTTTTATTTAAACAGTGGCAGTTTTCTCAAGATGGTTTTAATTTGAAATAATTATCATAAGTAAAACCATAAAAATGAAAATGCTCAGTAATAACGTTAATGCTCAAATGTTATGAAATCCTTTGACTTCATATAGGATTATAAGGAGCAGATTTAATATACTTGGTAGACTATTCAACTGGTAAAGTATTTTATAGTTCATAAAATCAAATATGCTGGCAGCAGTCTCCAGACCATTTATTATTCTCTCACAACTCAGCAGTTAAACAGTAGAAAAATGTTGGTGGTCTCTCATTTGGTTTAGTTGGTATTAGGGTATGTAAGACATTGAATGTAGGATGTGTATTCTGGTGATGCAGATCTGCAAAATTTGAGATTTCATTATTCCATTATTGTACTTATATTAAATTAATTTTAAAGGTTCAGTATATATAATTCCCCAAAATAAGAGCAACTTAATTTGGCTTGTCACCAATTATCTATATGCTTAGGTCACAGTTGTCTCTATTTCCCTCCTCTTTTCTTATCCTTCCCTCTTCCTTCTTCATTAGCAGGTAAGCACCTTGGATTACAAATTACATTTTATTTACAAATGCATTGTCAAGGCCTGCAAAAAATTTCTAACATATAGTTGAAAATCAATAAACATTTGTAGAATCAGAGAATGAATGTCGAACTGAATGTGTGTAACCCTCACATGGACTGTTCTTAAGAATATAAGTATACATAATACTGATAATTGAGGGGGAAAAGTACCTAGAAGCATATCAATTTATTATTTTTTCTCTAGACTTTCTGATTAGTACCACAGTTTGTTTGGTGTTTCACGAAGCTCCAGTGATCTTCATTAAAGTTTAGTGTGAGTTTTTCTAGGAAGAAACCACCTTCTGCCACAACATAGTAGGTTGGTTACCTAAATAAAGTTAAGTGACTACCTGAAAGAAATCGTGGTTGAGAGCCTCCGTTCATGGGCCATGGATGGAACGCGGTAGTGGGTATTTATTGGGCGCTACATACTACATAGACAGTGAAGAGTAGAAAAGGAAAATGAGTTGTGATCAGTTCTCTCCAGGAACTTGCACTCTAATTAAGGAGAGAAGTTACTTGCATATAAATTAATGCTGTAAGATAAATAGGCAGTGTCTGCAACATGTCAATGAAACAGTGCATTTTGCAGAAGGCATTACAAAGAAACTATAATTGTAAAATAAATTGACATCATTGCAGTCTAGGTACATCATGGAAAAGCATACTTTTGTATTTTGAGGTTATGGCAGAGATTAGATTCATCCCTGACATGGGAAGAATCAGTGGTGTCAGGAAGAAAGCCAGAGAAGACATTGTATGTTGGGGATGGAATCAAAGTTTAAAGGGAATAATGAAAACAAGAGTTTGTTAGGAGGATTTTTTTTTTTAATTTAAAGGCAAAATCATGAAATCATGACTCTCATAGAAATATAAAATGAAACTCATGACAAATGAGTTTAACTCACTAACTTAAATGAGAGAATGAGCCAGATGTTACCCACGTAAAGGAACATTCAAAGAGCACTAGAGTACTGCAGTGAATTTAAAATAGAGGCAAAATTGGCTTCTTCCATGGTGGAGGAAGGAAATCAATTGAACCCCCCTGCAGATAAAATTTCTTTCATGTCTGTGTACAAGAATCATTTGCATAGCAAATTATGAATAGATCACAGACAATGACTAATATAGAGATCCCATTGAATCAAAAACCCAGAAGGATCTGCTAGGCAAAAACAAGTTTCTCATCGAAGATAACCAGTAAGTATTTGTTCCATTTCAAAGGCTTTCACTTTTTTTTTTCTTATAGACTCATTAGCTATAAAACTTTAAGAAAATGATAGACATTTTGGAGTTTTGAAATATAAACCCAGGAGTTTAGATTTGATATCAGGCATACAGGGTATTTCAAATCCTCAAAGATGATGCAGTTAAAATGCTGCACTCAATATGCCAGCAAATTTGGAAAACTCAGCAGTGGCCACAGGACTGGAAAAGGTCAGTTTTCATTCCAGTCCCAAAGAAAGGCAGTGCCAAAGAATGTTCAAACTACTGCACAATTGCACTCATCTCACACACTAGCAAAGTAACACTCAAAATTCTCCAAGCCAGGCTTCAACAGTACCTGAACCATAAACTTCCAGATGTTCAAGCTGAATTTAGAAAAGCCAGAGGAACCAGAGATCAAATTGCCAACATCCACTGTATCATCGAAAAAGGAAGAGAGTTTCGGAAAAACATCTACTTCTGCTTTATTGACTATGCCAAAGCCTTTATGTGGATCACAACAAACTGTGGAAAATTCTTCAAGAGATGGAAAAACCAGACTACCTGACCTGCCTCTTGAGAAATCTGTATGGAGGTCAAGAAGCAACAGAACTGGACATGGAGCAACAGACTGGTTCCAAGTCGGGAAAAGAGTATGTCAAGGCTGTATATTGTGTCACCCTGCTTATTTAACTTATATGCAGAGTTTATCATGCAAAATGCCAGACTGAATGAAGCACAAGCTGGAATCAAGATTGCTGGGAAAAATATCAGTAACCTCAGATATGCAGATGACACCACGCTTATGGCAGAGAGTGAAAAACCTAAAGAGCCTCTTGATGAAAGTGAAGGAGAAGAGTGAAAAAACTGGCTTAAAACTCAACATTTAATAAATGAAGACCATAGCATCTGGTCCCATCATAGCAAACAGATGGGGAAACAATGGAAACAGTGAGAGACTTTATTTTGGGGGTCTCCAAAATCACTGCAGATGGTCACTGCAGCCATGAAAATTAAAAGACGCTTGCTCCTAGGAAGAAAAGTAATGACCAACCTAGACAGCATATTAGAAAGCAGAGACATTACTTTGCCAACAAAGGTCCGTCTAATCAAAGCTATGGTTTTTCTAGTAGTCACGTATGGATGTGAGTTGGACTATAAAGAAAGCTGAGTGCCAAAGAATTGATGCTTTTGAGCTGTGTTCAAGGAGTTGGAGAAGTTCAAGGTGTTGGAAAAGACTCTTGAGAGTCCCTTGGACAGCAAGGAGGTCCAACCAGTCCATGCTAAAGGACATCAGTCCTGAATATTCATTGGAAGGACT